CAGTTGACTGAGCCACCCAGGTGCCCCCCAAATCTTAACTCCTTAAAAAAATATTTTATTTATTTGATGGGGGAGGGACACAAGCAGGGGGAGTAGGAGAGGGAGAAGCAGGCTGCCCGCTGAGCAAGGAGCCCGAAGTGGGACTTGATCCCAGGACCCTGGGACCATGACCCCAGCTGAAGGCAGAAGACTGAGCTACCCAGGTGTCCCCAAAATCTTAACTCTTAATCTTACTTCTCAGCATTCCCTCATGCCAGTACCGTGTATATTTCCCCCAACGCCTGGCATCTGCCTTCGTTCACCCTACTCTCAACCCACGCTGGCACGGCTGATGTGCCTTCTTCCACCTCTCAGCCTTTCTCAGGCTTGAAACCCTATTTCCTCTTCTGATTGTATATTCACCTGGAATTGTCCTATCCCAATCTCTTAAGATACTTTTCAAATTCTATGTCAACCTTAAAATCTTAACTTTTGTACTTGCGAAAGTTAAACTGCCTTTAAATACATTTACATATTTGTGTCCTGGTCTTTCAGAGTGGAAACTGCCCATGGGCAGGGATTGTCATCCACAGAGGGTCTCCTTAATATCCTGGCTGTAGGGGCGCCTGGGTGGCTCAGTGGGTTAGGCCTTTGCCTTGAGCTCAGGTTATGGTCTCTGGGTCCTGGGATGGAGCCCCGCATCAGGCTCTCTGCTCAGCTGGGAGCCTGCTTCCCTCTCTCTCTGCCTGCTTGTGATCTCTCTCTCTGTCAAATAAACAAAATCTTAAAAAAAAATATTCTGGCTGTAATAGTATCTATTGACTTGGAATGAAGAGTTTTGAACTTGTGTCTGATCTAGAGACAGAACACCAGAGGGAAGAGAGTGGACCAAAATACAGGAATATATCCAGTTATATTCTGAATACGTCTGCACGCATATACTTAATGCTAAATTCTCTCCAGAGGATCTGAGTGGGGCCCTGACCAGTAAGAGAATTTGGGAGAAAGCTGTTGATCTTTCTTGGTGGACTCAGGCCATTTTCTTCAGTGGGTAGGGAAGGAGCTGGTCCGGGGTTGTGAGTGCGAGCAGAGTTGAGGTTCCGAGAGCTTTGGGAGTGTCCAGGCCTGGTGCCATTTCTGAGCGGACTGGGACAGGGTCAGGAACCGGCGGGCTGTGAGTCAAAGCCGGTCCCTGGTCTTGTCGCACCTTTCCAAGGTGCGTTCGCCGAGTGTAACCAAAAACCAAGCGAAAGGGGTCCTGGGCCACTGCCCTGAAGGAAGTCCGCTCTCGGACCACGACGTGTCCGCTGCGAGGTCCGCCCGGCAGATCTCTGTTCCCTCGTCGTCGCGACAGTCCGCCGTGTTCCTGGAAGGTTCGGTCCCGCCGTGCGCGGGTCGCCCTGCAAGGGCCCAGGTGAGGCCCAGGAACCGATCCGTCCAGCCGAGAGAAAACTCTCCCCGCGTGTCGTGTGACCAGTGGCCGTCGCCTGGGACCTCCGCACCGCGCGGGCCACACAGGAGGCCCGCAGAGTCCGGAGGGTCCCCCCCGTAGCCCCCCCGGGGTCCCCCCCCCACGGCTGCCTCCCCCCCACCCCCGGCTGCCTCCCGGGTTCCCCGCGGCCGGCCGCGGCCCGGAGCAGAGTTCCGCGTGCGAGCCGCGCTTCAGCCGCGCTGACCCGGGGGTGGGGCAGGCCCGGGGGTGGGGCAGGCGCGGAGCCGGGGCAGAGACGCCCGGGACGCCCGGGCAGTGCACCGGCCCCCGCGCAGGTGCCGGGGAGCGGCGGGGAGCGCGAGCCGCCGGCGGAGAACAAAGGCGGCCCAGGGCGGTGGCCAAGGCCGCCTCGCGAGGAAATGGGCAGAGGCCCTCACGGCCCCCCAGACTCAGCCCACGGGGGCGGGGGCGGGGCCGGGACTGGGGACCCCCGGGGGAGGGCGGGGACCCCCGCAGGGAGGGTCCCTGGGGAGACCGGGTTAGGAGGACGGGGACCTTCGGGATTAGGGGGCAGGGAGGAGAGTCCCTCGGCGAGGGGGGAGGGGCGGCGGGGACCCCCAGGGGCAGGCGGCGGAGGGTCCCGGGGGGAGGGGTAGGGGGAGGGGGCGGGGCGGCGGGGACCCCCGGGCGGGGCGGCGCGGGCGCGGTGGGAAGAGAGGGCGGGCGCGCTGCGGGGCCGGGCCGGGGGCCGCGGGGAGGGGGCGGCTGCGAGCGCGCCGAGGGGCGGCGGGTCGGGGCGGGGCTGGGGGCTGGGGCGCCGGCGGGAGGTGGGGCCGCGGAGCGCGCCGGACTGCGGCGGGCTGGGAGGCGGCGGCGGCGGCGGCCGGAGGATCGCGCGGGGCCGCGGGGCGAGCGGGGCGGGAGCAGCTGAGGGCCGCGGGGCGAGCGGGGCGGCGGCGGCGGCGGCGCGGGGCCGGGAGCGCGGGCCGAGGGGCGCCGGCGCGGCGGGAACAGCCGGGGCCGGCGGCGGAGCGGGCTGACGCGCGCGGGCCGCCGGCGGCCTCCTTCCGCCCCCTCAGCCGCGGCGGCCGGGCGGCGCGCTGGCGGCGGCCATGGCGGTGGCGGCGGCGCTGGCGGGCCGCGGGGCGCGCGGCGGCAGGGGCCGGCCCCCGGGCGGCGGCGGCGGCGGCGGCGGCGGGCGGGCGGAGGGGGCGGGGCCCGGGCGGCGAGCGGCCCGCGCGGCGGCGGCGGCGGCGGCGGCAGCGGCGGCGGCGGCCGGGGACGAGGCGGCGGCGGCGGCGGAGGCGGCGGCGCGGGGCGCTCGGGCTAATGGCGGCGGCGGCCGGCCCCGGGACGGCGCTGTCTCCGCGGCCTTGCGACAGTGACCCGGCCACCCCCGGAGCGCCGTCCCCGAAGGTGAGAAGCGGCGGCCGGCGCGGCGGGGCGGGGACGGGACGGGGCTGCGGGGCGGGGTTGGGGGGGCGGCGGCGAGGCCGGGCCGCGGGGGGTTCCCCCGCCGGGAAGAGCCGGAGGCCGCGGTTCCCCCTCCCCCCCAGGCCGCCCTCCGCCCGCGGCCCGGCCCCTGAGGCGGCGGGGGCGGCCTGGCCGCGAGCGCGGGGCGGGGTGCGCGTCTCCGGGGTTCGGAGCGCCCCGGGCGGAAGCGGCTCCCGGGGTGCGGCGTCCCGGCCGCGATCGGGGAAAGCGGCCCGGAGGCTGCGGGGCGGCGCGGGACTGCGTTGGCTCGGTGGGAGCCCCCGTCGCCCGCGAACTTCGCTCGGGAACTGGCGCCGCACGCAGCAGCCCGCGCCCCCCACGTCCCCCTTCCGGGCGCTAAAGCGCGGGAGGCGCCGTGTCCCCGAGCTCAGGGCGCCGCGTGTCCGGCCGGAGGCGCCCGAGAGCAGCGGGGCCGAAGGTGGAGCCCCCGGGAAGCGGCCGCGAGTGGGGGCTGGGCAGGGCGCCGGGGCGGGGGGAGGCCCCGGTCCCCGCAGGCCCCTGCACCAGGCCCCCGTGCGGGACGCGGTCTCTGAACGCACGCGGGGCGCCGCCGGCGAAACTGCTGCCGCGTGTGCGGGGACTTTGCTTTTTTAACTTTTTCCGAGCGATTCAACTTTTAGGCGGGGCGCGTGCGCTCACGGCGACGGGAAGCTCTTGAAATGCTCAGACGTGAGTCAGATGAGCAAGATCCCGCGTTCGCTTAAAGCGAGGCGCCCCGCCGTGGCCCCGCGCGCTCGCGGTGGGTCCTGGAGCCGCAGGTCCGGGTCCGCCCGGCTGCCCGCGCCTTGTCCGTGCGGGACCGAGCCGGAGGCGCGCTGGGCATTCGCCGTCTGAGCTCCTGCGGCGCAGCCGCTGCGGACGTCGCGGTCACGTCGCGGCCAACTTTACGCGGCGCCGAATGGTCCACTGGGCCTTGCGGGGCGCGCTTCCCCGCAGGGAGCTGCCCGCACCCGCACCCGCGTCCGCCACGCCGCGTCTCCGTCTTCCGACAGGGAGAGGCCGCGGCCGGCAGGCGCAGTGCCGGTGGGGAACCCGGCGGCTGCGGCGGGCGCGCCCAGGAACCCGCCGGAGCGTCCAATCGCTCCTGTTGTGCGGGACCAGACTCGCGGCGGGCGGCAGGAGGACCCAGCCGTGAACACCTGTGTCCTCGTCGCGCGGGGCTGCGTGTCCTGGCCGTGTTTCAGGGACTTTGTGAGCGCTGCAGCCGCCGAGCCTCAGCGGCGGGGCCGAGGCCGTTTCCCAGACGTGTGGGCCCGGCGGATGCGGGGTCCGGCGTGCGGTCGCGGGGGTCTCCCCGCAGTCACGCTCGCGCCTCCCCTTCGGCGGGGTGTGTTGCTGCACGCGTGGATGGCGCTGGTTAGGGGCTGTGTTTGCTAACGTTCTGCGCTGCGAGCACGAGCCCGTCAGCAGGACGGGCGGTGCCGTTCGGGCCTGTTTCCACAGAGGTCACGTCTGTGCGCGCCGCGCGGACCGTCCGCCCCGCAGCTCCGGGCCGGGCCCCACGGCGAGCGGGTCGCAGCCGCAGGAGGGTCGCGGGGGCGCTGGGGTCCAGCGACGCCGTGTGTGTGTTTGCAGCACGGGCGCTAGAACTGCGGTCGGCAAGAAACCGAACGGAGATTTAGGTGTACAGGTTAATTAAAAATGTTCTCATTTTGATTGTACTGGACATCACTTTTATTTTTTTAGTTTTCTTCCAGGTCTTCCCATACCAAATTCTTGACTCGTGTTAATTATAATGGAAAGTAAACATTTGTATAATCCGTTGTCCTTAAAAAGCCTTTAAGTGGAGCCTTTTAGTAAGTCTGGGAAGATATATAATCACTCTTTCCTTATTTTTTTTACTGTTTCTCTTACTTTTTGAATTTTTTAAATGTATAGGATGATACTGAAGATAATTCAAATGATGGGACCCAACCACCCAAAAGGAGGCGAACGGGCTCAGGAGATAGCTGTAGGAGCTGTGAGACTTCAAGTCAAGACCTTGGGTACCGTCATTTCATTACTCACTAGTAGTTCTTGTGGCGCGTTTCACTGCGGCACCCCTCCTCCCCGGCCCCCGCACGGGCAAAGGTAGTTATTAGAAACTGTACAGCATTTTTGTCGTGGTCTGTATATGACGCAACATTACTTTTGCTACTCAGTGCAATTTAAACTTGCTTTTATTGTGACGAATACGTGTATAAAACTCACCATTGTAGTGATGTTTGGGTGTGTCACTCAGTGGCACGGGTTGCGTCCAGCGTCCTTCAGCTGCCACCTGCGCCCCCTCTCATGCTTCTCTACTGCGCGGAAATGTGCTGGCCACGAAGCAGTAACCGTTGCCACTTCCTCTTTCCCCAGCGCCTGGCAGCCACCATCTTCCTCGCCGACATTCGGGGTTTGCCTGTCGCAGGCACCTCGTGTAGATGGAATCCTACAGTATTTGTCCTTTTGTGTCTGGCTTCTTTCAGCATCATTTCTTGAAAGTTCATGTTGGAGGATGTGTCAGCATCTTCTTTCTCTTTAGGGCTGAACTGAGCTCCTTTGTGTGGACAGACCCCTCTTGTCTGTCCTTTCATCTGTGACGGACAGTGGGGTGGTTTCCCACTCGGACTGCTGTGAACTGTGCTGCGGTGAACGTTGGGGTGTAAATATGTGTTCAGTCCCTGTTTTCAGTTCCTTTGGGTGTATCCCTTGGAGAGGAGCGCTGGATCGTACGGTAATTCTGTGTCTAGCACTTCGAGGACCCACCAAGCTGCTTTCCACAGTGGACACCTCATTTTCTGTTCCCAGCAGGGGTGCAGTCTCCAGCGCTGTTGGTTCTGTCCCACTTCTGTTAATGGCCATCCTACGGGGTGTGAGGTGGCGGCCCAGTGTCATTTGCATTTGAATTTCTGTAATGGCCAGTGAAGTGGACCATCCTGTCAGTACTTATTTGTGGCTCTTTGGGGCGGTGGGAGGGGGGGAGGAAATGCAGAAAAGCGTTTCTGAGTTGGGTTGTTTGTTCTGTGGTGTTGCACAGCGGGAGGTTTGTATGTGTTCTGGGTGTTAATCTTATCAGATCTGCAATTCTTATTCTGCTGGTTGCCTTTTCACTTTGTTGGAAGAGTCCTTTGATGCACAAAATTTTTAATTTTGCTGAAGTTTAAATCATTTTTCTTTTGTTGCTCATGGTTTTGATATCATATCTAGAACCTGTTGCCAAATCTGAGATCAGGGAGAGTTACTGCTGTGTTTTCTAAGAGTTTTCTGGTCTGGTTCTTCTGTTGAGGTTGTTGATCTATTTTTGAATGTGATTGGACGTAAGGGCCCAATTTCACACTTTTGCATTTGGATATCTGATTTCCCAGCACTGTTTTTGAGAAAACTACTATTTGGTCGTTACTTCTAATTGGATGCATAAAATAGTGTCCTATTCTTGCCGCTGTGTCCCCTGGTGAGATTTAGAGGTTGGGTTGGCCAGGTCCGGAGCTCTGTAGCTGGCTGGTCAGGACTGGGACCGGTCCGCAGGACTGGGACCGGTCCGCAGGGTTGGGACTCGTCCGCAGGGTTGGGACCCGTCCGCAGGGTTGGGACTGGGCACCTTCACACCGGGTCTGTTCTGTGTTTCTGGCGTTGTGGAGTTCAGGAAAACAAACAGTTATGGTTTATAGTTCAGCTCTTTGAGAAACAGGTTTCTGGAGTTCTGCTTTCTTAACTGTTTGACTCACCGAACAGCATGTGGGAAACAAGGGGGGACTTTGTGCCTTGGGCAGGTGAAATAGCGGTGTAGGTGTGGAGCCCAGGAGAGGGAATTCGGGAGGAACGTCACCACCGTTTTGGCTGTGTAGACCTCTTAGGCCACAGAATTCCTCTACAGCGGGCAGTGCTGAGCCGTGGTTCTTTGGGGTGTGGACGTGTGCCGTGCACTCTTGTTCAGTTTCATGCACCACTTGCTTCCTCTCCTTCTGCCTGTTCTGTTGTGTTCTTGGACGCACAAGACTGGGGGATCGTGTATGTATGGCAGAGTCAGAACACTGAATGAGAATTTAAATAATTAAAGTAGTTCTCTAAAATTCCTAAAAATAAAATTCAAAAATAGGTCCTTAAAATAAAAATGAATAAAACCTAATAAAAGCCACATTTAAGGCATAATACATATTTCTGTGCTTAGCTTTAGCTACTACCCAGCAGAAAATTTGATAGAGTACAAGTGGCCGCCCGACGAAACAGGAGAATACTATATGCTTCAGGAGCAAGTCAGTGAATATTTGGGTGTGACCTCCTTTAAACGGAAATATCCAGGTATTACGTCTTAGTTTATGTAACAGATTAAGCCTGACTTTGAACTACTAGTAATTGTTTTTGATAAGTTGTCAGCTTCTGAATCTTTGAGTGTGGATTATAGGTAACACACTGCACGCTCTTCTGCTAGCTGATTTTCCTTTCTCCTGTTGCCCAGTGGTGCTCTCCGCTCTCAGTTTGCTCTTACGCCTTATAAATGGACTTAAAGCACAATGTGGAAGGTGAATTTCCTGGGGAAGAGTCTTAGAAATAAGTCATATTATGGCCGAAAGCAGCAGGAGTTGGGTTCTTTCCCGTTGCTGAGGGAGGCTGCTACATGGGGCTGTGTCTGAATTTGAGAAAAGCTGTCTGTGCTGTTCTTGCTTTGGGTTACTCTGTTTTCAACTTTAATTTAGCTTTAATTCCTTGTATTTGTAAGATTATTTGCGTGGTCTCTTTAGTAATCTTTGGAATATATAACACACAGTACTTTTTTAAGTCCATAAAGAATTTAACATTTTAAAAAAATCTTAAAAAGGTTTTTAAGTTTTTAAAAGTTTTAAAAATGCATAATGTTACAAATGCAAAAGATTATTTTTCATAGTCTTTTGTTCTTTTCTTTGGAGATTTAGAGCGACGAGATTTGTCCCATAAGGAGAAACTCTACCTGCGGGAGCTGAATGTCATCACGGAGACACAATGTACTCTAGGTAACAGAGGCTCTGAACGGGGATTCTGAAAACTGGGTGTTTATGAGGAGACACTGGATGGGAGTTTGTCCTCTTTGCTAAAGTGTTTTACAAAATTAATGGCATAGATTGAACTATTTAAGTGCTAACTTGTTTATATTTGGTTTTTGTTAAGAACAAAAAAAGGAGAATGACATAACATTTCATAGAAGTGTGGGGGGGTGTGCAAAATTCGTATGGTAGTTTTTACAAGTCTTGGTCTTTATCTCTTATGATGCACATTTTGCTCTGTTTTTTGTTCCGTGTGATTATCTCCATGCTTTGTTGCCAGTTTTTCTTTCATAAACATTTTAATGCACCGTGGCTGCTTTTTAACGTAAAGCCATGGTTGTTCATCACAGCAGTTGGTCTGACGCGATGCTCTGACTTTTGAAAATGGCCTGTATGACTTGCGTGTGGGCTGATGCTTCTCGTGGAGTGTGAATGGACTCCTTGTAATATTCCTAGTGTACTGAGTTTGAAGACTAAGTACTGCAAAACTAAGTACAAAACTAAGCACAAAAGACTACTGAAAAACTCTTGTTTTCTTCTAATATTCTTCCTTAGTTAAGTATATTAGATTAAGGATAATCCTTAATCTTCAATGGCCTGTAGTTAGTATGCATCATTATTTAGCCATTGTTTTTAATAAAGGGTATGTTTGTAGTACGTTGAATCTTAAAAAAAATGTGGTTGAAAATTGATTTATTTTCCTTTATAACTTCATGAGTTTCCTTTTTTATGTGTTTGACTTTATATTATGAATACTGTTTTTTTTTGAATGTATTACAGTATTTTCCCTTGACTACTGGAAAACTTTAAATGTAGAGTAGATTAAAGATAAAGCAAATTTTGAAAAGTAGTTTTGCTCACAGCCTTAAAAGAGCTTTTTTTTTTTACTTTTTTTTGGTCTAAAATAGGTTTAACAGCACTGCGCAGTGATGAAGTGATTGATTTAATGATAAAAGAATATCCAGCCAAACATGCCGAGTACTCTGTTATTTTGCAAGAAAAAGAGCGTCAGCGAATTACAGACCATTACAAAGAGTATTCTGTAAGTACTGAAGTGACTGGCATCTCTTGCTTGGTTTGGGGAGAGTGACATTTTGTAAAGTCATACGTGGCTTCCAACTGTCATGTTTTTATTTCAGCAAATGCAACAACAGAACACTCAGAAAGTTGAAGCCAGCAAAGTGCCGGAGTACATTAAGAAAGCTGCCAAGAAAGCAGCCGAATTTAACAGCAACTTAAACCGGGAGCGCATGGAAGAGCGAAGGGCTTACTTCGACCTGCAGACGCACGTAGGCTGCTTCCCTCTAGGAGTTCCTGAGCCTCCCTAGTGCTCGCTGTGGCGGAACGCGCGGGGCCTGCTTTGGGGAACCGTTGCTGTTCTGTACCAGCAGCGCGTCCTTTTCTGCCCCAGCAGTTAAGACAGAACTTCTTACGATATGCCTGCAACACTCTGCTTGCTTCTCTGTGTGTGTGTGTGTGTGTGAGAGGGAGAGAGAGAGGAGGGAGGGACGTGTCTTTTGCGCTGAGGTTGATACTCTGCTGCTTGTCCCAAAGGTTCTTTTTTTTTTTTTTTTAAGATTTTATTTATTTATTTGTCAGAGAGAGAGAGGGAGAGAGAGCGAGCACAGGCAGACAGAATGGCAGGCAGAGGCAGAGGGAGAAGCAGGCTCCCTGATGAGCAAGGAGCCCGATGTGGGACTCGATCCCAGGACGCTGGGATCATGACCTGAGCCGAAGGCAGCTGCTTAACCCACTGAGCCACCCAGGCGTCCCCCAAAGGTTCTTTTAAGAAATTTCCATCTCCGTTCACTTAAGACTCAGTTGCCACGTGAGGTTGAAGCTCGCGTTCTTCTCCTTCCGTAGATGAGGACGTGCGTGTGCGTTGCCCAGGCCCCCTTCCTCTCTCCCCGGGGGCGGAAGCACACTGCGTGTCCCTCACACTGCGATGAGCCAGATACAACTTCCCTGTATAGCGAGAAACACTGTCCTGTCCCCTTGGGGTCTGGTTCCTAATGTCTCCTGTGGGGGAGGGCGGCGCAGCGGAGAACGGGTGGGACTGTGCTCTAAAACCTTGATTCCTAGGGGGCAGTCAGTGTTGCATTTCTCTTCACCTTAACCCAGGTCATCCAGGTGCCTCAAGGGAAGTACAGAGTGTTGCCGACAGAGCGCACCAAGGTCAGCTCCTACCCGGTGGCCCTCATCCCCGGACAGTTTCAGGAATACTACAAAAGGTACTCACTGGTTTTATGACCATTACTGTTGCGTATTGCGGGGGACTTCAGAGTCTGGTGTCCTTGCCTCCAAAACGCTGGGCGCGGGTCATACTCTCTGCCGTGATCTGCAGGGGAGACGAAGGAAGGAGCAGAGTGGCCGCCCGACGGGCGCGAGCACCTGCTTGTCCCCGACGCACGGCTGCCCCAGCTGCTGCTCGCCGGGCGTTCCCGACGGGACGTCGCCGAAACCCAGGCTAGCAGGGGCATGTCGTTTGAGAAGCTCAGCTTTTACGTCAGCCTTAAACCTTATGTTCTTGAGGAAAGAGACTGTTCTTTAAAGGCTAGCGTGTGAAATAGACTCTAGAAAGCCAAGTGTAAATCATGGGCCAGCAGACTTTTAAAAGCGATGTGCCAGGGTGGCAGGCCCTTTGCTTTTTGCCGTGTCTGCTGAGGCGGTGCTGAACGCAGATTTCAGGGTTTGGACAGGGGGTGATGTTGGCAAGGGTGGCCTGTGGGTGGGAGTGACACCGATGTGTCCTCTGGTGTGGCTGCTGCTGACCTCTAGTGCCAGACACAAAGGGTTCATTTGTTTCTCGGGTAATGTTGTGGACCGCGTGCTGGCTTGCGGCAGTGCATCCGCTGATGGGGCCCTCGTTGGCCGGGGAGGCGGCCACGTCGTCAGATTCTCCGCATACGCGGAGCAGCAGCGATAACTTGGGGAGGAGGGCTGGGGCGCTCGGGCTGCGTGGCTTCTGTGCAGGGTCCTTAATTGCCACAGTTCCCGCTTTAGTCTGCTGACTTCTTTCCCTTCTTTTTGGGTTGAGGATGAAGGAGAGAGACATGATCTTTTGATAATAAGAATCAAATATGTATATTACACTCTTAGCCTGGTGCAAAAACGTTTAAGCTTTTTATTACTTTTCTTACTTGGTAAAAATGAAAACTTCCTTGTTACATCTGTAATCATTTTCCAGAAGTAGCTGGGCTAGCGGGGACAGTTGGGGCTGCGTTTGAAGCTCGTGGGTTAGAGCAGTCCTGTTCCTCACAGACGGCAACTGACGGTCACCTCTCTGAGCCGCAGGTACTCCCCGGATGAGCTGCGGTATCTGCCACTCAACACCGCGCTCTACGAGCCCCCCCTGGACCCCGAGCTGCCGGCCCTCGACAGCGATGGCGACTCGGACGATGCTGAGGACGGTCGAGGCGACGAGAAACGGAAACACAAAGGGACTTCGGTAGGAGTGCTGGTCTTCACCAGCAGGTGTCCCCTTCCCCTAGAGGGTTTGCTGATTGCTTTCCCAGATGTCGAATGGAACGAGTATCACCACCCTCTTTTCGAAAAGGGACAGTTGCATGGGATTTCCTGAACGCTTTCATCCAGAAAATTATTTATTGTGTGCATTGGTAGAGGCAGGCTATGGTTGGCCTTTGGTAAGTTTTATTTTTAAAGTTGCCTTTCAGGTTATCACAGGCAGGTTACAAAAGGGCACCGGACATGAGTTTACAATCCTGTATTGAACTGTCCTGGTTTTGGGAGTACATTAACTTGTGTTCCTATTGCTTAATTTAAAAAAAAAAATATTTTTCGTATTTATTTGAGAGAGAGACAGATGCAGTGACAGAGAGCACAAGCAGGGAGGGGAGGGACGGTCAGGCTCCCTGCCGAGCCAGGATTCCCCACGCCCGGCTTCATCCCAGGACCTCGGGATCTTAGCCAAAGGCAGACGCTTAGCCCACTGAGGCACCCCATCCTACTGCTTAATTAATAATTTAGATTACCTATAGGAAAATTTGAAGGTGTTATTGCGTAGGTTTTCTTGTACGACTTTTTTTTTTTTTTTTTTACTTTTTAAAACAAAACGAGGTTGCATGACTGGGGAGAGTTGGTGGGCTTGGTGGAAGGTGAAGGAGAGCAGAGGATTTTGATTTGATGGGGCGTGGTGCGCCGAGCGGCTCTGGCCATTTTAAACCCTCGTTATAGCCAGCCTGCACCCGAGAGTGTGCTCTGTTAAATGGCCAGTACATTTTTTTGTCAGCAACAACTTCTAAAACGTTTGATGATACACGTTACATAAAATGAGATGCTTTTCAAGTATTAAAGTGATGGGACCACTTTTTTCCTGTCTTATTGGTAAAAAGGGAGCTGTGGTGGGAGCAGGATATATTGAAGTTGACTTTTCCTCACTCTGCCTGTAGTAGTCTGTGGGGCGCCTGGGTGGCTTAGTGGGTTAAGCCTCTGCCTTCGGCTCAGGTCATGATCTCAGGGTCCTGGGATCGAGACCCGCATCGGGCTCTCTGCTCTACGGGGAGCCTGCTTCCTCCTCTCTCTCTCTCTGCCTGCCTCTCTGCCTACTTGTGATCTCTGTCAAATAAATAAATAAAATCTTTAAAAAAAAAATAAGGTAATCCAACATTTCTGAGAGCATTTAACAGTTTATACCAAGATTTTTAACTTCCACAGAATTTGACCTAGCAAATATCCTAACAGAGTTTACCTGAAGGACAAAATTTAATTAGGAAAACCATGGCCATTGTAGCGTTAACAGTATTTTTTATAATGGAAATTACGAATAAATTTAATGTCCATAAATTTAAGGTGATATATTACATTTACATGACAGAAGTGAAGTTCAAAGAATGTGTAGTGATGTGGTAAAATGCACAAAATACTTAAAACAGTTGAAAAACCCATGCACATGCGCTCAGTGGAATCCAGTATGTGTGTGTGTGTGTGTGTGTGTGTGTGTGTTTAAGATCATATTTAAAGACTTATTTATTTTAGCGGATTGGGGGAGGGGCAGAAGGAGAGGTAGAGAGAGAAGCTTGAACAGACTCCACACTGAGCGCGGAGCCTGATGTGGGGTTCGATCTCACGACTCGGACCTCAGCCGAAACCAAGAGTTTAACTTAACTGACTGAGCCACCCAGGTGCCCCACCAGTTTTGTGTTCTAATAAAATGAGGGATACGTGTAGATGGGGTATATGTTTGAGTGTGTGAATGTGTGAATCTGGGTATTTGTATGCAGACACACAACTGAAAAGAGATGCATTCATGTTTCCAGTGGTTGTCTCAGAATGTTTATCAGAGTAGTTATGCATAACCTAATTTTCTCACTTAAAATTTTCATAATTTACACGAACATAGCATTTTTATTTAACTAGAAAATTTTAAATTAATAGATGAAGAATTCAGTGATAAGTTAGCAAAGTGCTAAACTTTGAACATATAAAGTATGTCAGATACTGTCATAAGGACTTGGTGACACTGGTGCTTGTGTGGGATACAAGACGGAGCTCGAAGGACCCGTGACACTTACCACTCAGGAAGAATACCCACACTTATCTAAGACAGTGTATTTTTTAAGCAGTTTTTGTCTGAAACCATGCCTGCGTGGTTGAAGCACAAAGCCGACAGTCCTGTCGTGTCACGTCAGGAGACGGTGCGTTAAGGCACTGGCCGGCGGGAGTGGAGGGAGCTCTGTGCCCTCACGCATTCTTAAGGCAGTGGGTGACTTTTAACATGACTTTTCAGTCTGCGCCGGAAAAGCTTTTTCTACTTAGCTATCTTTTTATTTTTAGGTTGATGGAACTTTAAAACTTTTTACAAATCACAGTCCAGTCTGTGAATTCCAAGGAGTCTCTGTTTGTGTTTCTCACCTCCAGGACAGCTCCTCCGGCAACGTGTCCGAGGGGGAAGGCCTTCCCGACGGCCAGGAGGAGCCTTTCCAAGGAAGACAGAGATCCAAGGACAAAGCTGCTACTCCAAGAAAAGACGCTTCCAAACGTTCTGTTCTGTCCAAGTCAGTCCCTGGGTACAAGGTAGAAGAAAAAAGCCCCTGACTCTGCTTCCTTCCTGACCAGCCTCTTTCCCCGACATAGTTTTAACTCTGACCTCCAGAGCGGGGAGCTCTGCCTGCCGCCCCCCACTCGCTGTTCTGTGGTGTGTGCCCTCTGTCGGCTGCCTTCTCTTCTGCTTTCTTTTCTTGGTGGCTTTGCTGTCACTTTGGCCTCTGGTTCAGCTTCTGTTTCTGGAGATGTACAATTTATAAGAAAATCTTTTTTTGACTTTTAAACAATAACCAGGCAAGTATGGGTTTTTAAAAAAAATTTATTTTGTAGGCAGAACTTTATAGTTTGTTTCCTTGGAGTAAAGATCGTAATTTTCTGACGTCTAAAACGTCCTAGTGTTGAGTAGAGCTGAGCTGTGAGGGATGGGTGGATGGGCTCTTAGAATAAGCTGCCTCTTCTGGAAGGAGATCTGGGTTTTATCCAATGATTATTTGATCCATTGACCAAATTTAGCTGACTCTGCGATGGAAAGTAGTACAGCCTGTTATTTACATTGTGGTGATTTTTAGCCTGGCCTTGGCAAATAGCGTCTCCAACTCTAGGACCAGGATGTAGGCTTCATTTAGTGACGTAGCCTGGCTCAGAGTAAGGCCGTGTGCTCTCAGCCATGTTTCTGTCAGCGTCTTCCCCTTCAGAAGGCTAGGTGAGAGGTGAGTAGCCTTACCCCTGCGTGGGGGTTTTGGAACGTCCTGGAAGAGGTGACATCAGCTGCACGGTTTTATGTTCTGGACAGTAATGGTAAGACAGACCATTCATACAGTCCGGATTCTATCAGATTATGCCTTTTATTGTGGTTATGAAGGTGTTTGGAAGGAGCGTCTTAGAGTAAGGCGAGGGAGCGGTTTGCTGAGTGGGACTGTTGACCCATCTCGTCGTGTGTCAGGATTGGGGTCGCGGTGGATGATCTCGAGGAACAGGTGTGCGCGGGCTGCGGGCCAACTTCCCTTCCCCAGCCGGACCCTTCTTGCAGTCCGCTTGCCTTTCTTTTCCTGAAGTAAATAAAGCAACTTAGCAAATTAGTGTATTTAATCCATATTCAGTTTGAAGATGCCTTTATATAATCAGATTAAAAATACATGTTTCTTCAGCCTGTGGCAAGCCAGTCTTAAGCTTCGTTTGGCCAAGGCTGGCTTCCAGGGACGGCTTCAATAGGCCGCAGCCGTGCGATTTTGTACTTGTTTGTACATGGATAGCTTACCTAATTTTTTAAATGTAAAAGCTGTAAATTAATGCTTCATAATTGAAAGCAAATGAAGTCCAAAGAGTCAGTCTTGGAAAGCTAGTCTGCCGTGTGCCGCGGAGGGCACTGCCCGTCTTCAGCCGGGAGCGGCAGCTCGAGCACTGAGCACGGAGGAGACTTCACCAGCAGCCTGGGTTCATCCTGGGTTCGGAGGGGAGAGTGGTGAGGTAGATGTTTTAATAGAGGCTGAAAATGAAGAATTATTCCACGGTATCATTGATTTAATCTAGAAGAAATCCTATAGATTAACCTAAATTGCTATTACTCAAGGGAGTGTAATATGCAAAATACACATTTTATAATTTCTGTGAACATTTTTAGCACCTAAAAATGTTTCAGGTGTTTCAAAGTTTGGAACAACCAGTATCTAGACTTAATACATTAATATGAACATGTTTGTTAAAAGTAACCTCTCTATGAAAAATATTAATAAGCCAAGATGTGCCTAAATATTCGGGTGCTGACAAGCTGAAGGTCATATACATAAATACGTTGGAGTTACCAGAAATGATGGCGTATCCAATGTCTTGCTTAATAAGATTCACTAGTGCTTGCCCTTCATTTGTAGGACAGTATTGTTTAGGTTACATTAACCTGCAGCGAAAGCATAATTGTTAGGATTCAGGCCTATGCGACAAGTTTGTAATTAAAATCTATACTATATTAGTGTTACCGTGAAAGTCTCCCTTATCTTCGGTTCTTTCCCGAGCAGGAAAGTCAGTGTATTGTGAGCCTTTTATTTGAGATGCTGAGAACCATTAGGATGAGCATTTTAATTTTCTTGTCAATAGTGAAGCTTTGATGTTGTTGCAGTTACTAGAGGTAGAACAGTCAGACACAGGGTCTGTTCCATCAGTCGCCGCGGGAGCTCTGTGTGCGGTTCCCTTCCTCCTCCATCGGAGGAGTCTCCGTCAGAGACGAGCTTCCCGGCTGGCGATCCTGGCTGTGAGCAGCGTGGCTTCTTAGAGAGCTCGGAGTGCTTGAGTGAACAAGGAATTGCCATAGGAAATGCTACAAAGCTCTTTCTCTCTTTCTCTCTCCCTTCTCCACCCCTGCCACTCCCTCTTTTCATCAAGATGAAGACTATTGGGTAAGAAAAATTTTAAGTGGCTTAACAAAATATTATGATTTTAAGCTTAGAAGTAAACCTAGAATTTTCTTGGTGTCCCTTTTTTATCCTAGGTGTTTAATGTATATTTTAATGGCTGTAGAACTTGAATTGCTCTAGAATGTGAATGACTAGCTTGTGTTCGATTCCTTTTTGACGTTTGTAAAGGATCTCCTATAAGGAGTTCTTTTAGAATTTAATACTGTGTAGTTACGTCCCTGACTTTAGTGAGAGATATTCAAATACTTGGTATGCCAGTATCTAGCTTCAACTACAAGTATTAAATAAGTCTGTCTTTTACATTCAGTGCAGGTGCCATAGCCAAAAGAGAGTTCTTATTTTGGTGCATCGAGCGAGCTTTCTGCTGTGTATTATGGCAGTTACAGGTGTGGTCATCACCGGATCAGAACTTGGATCATAGAAGTGCACTTCTGGGTGTTTCGTATTTAGGTGTAGGAAACACAGAGAGAACCTCCTGCTTAGAATGTAGCGGCAGCAGTGGAGGGTAACTGCTCTGCGAGACGCACACGGTGTGAGCATGGGACACGATCCTTTTGTTGGGGGAGCAGGGTATACGGACACACATATAGGAGATGTAGAATAGTTAACGGTAAAGTTCTATATGTATGTTTTAACTTCCATGATATTTATTATTTTGTAGAGACATTTGTGATTGTTTAGAGTTATTGTTTTTATTATATTTATGTATAAGGTTGACTTTTTTTTAAATAAATAAGCCAAAAATTATTTTTGAATGCCTCTGTCATCTTTTGCAAAGAAAGACAATTTAAAACATAAAAAATTTAAAGAATTAAGAACAAATTGTTCAGGCCTGACAGGTTTTGAAGGTGGCAGGGAGACATTTCAAAGCTGGAATGCTGTATATGAAGTTGGAGTTTCCTTGAGGCTCCTCTTTGTTTTAGTAACTTAGGAGAGGGACATAGAAGATGAGTTTGGCGGGGTTGGAATAAAACATACCACCGTCCTGCTGAGGAGCATCTCCCCGCAGGTCACGTGCGCACATCGGCCGGCCCGTCTCCTACTTGGCCCACGCGTACTCTTCTTTCTCTGCCTCCGTCACTTACGTGTTCAAGTAGCGTGAATGAACGTCGTCTCACTGTGGTCAGAGCTGTGACGTTTGTATGTTCTCCCTCCCCAACGACTGTAGATGCCCTGCATCTTTTCTTCTTCGTCCTTTCCAGTGTGTTGCTCAGCGTTTTTTTAAAGCTCAAGTACTTTCATCGGATTGAGCAAGGCTTTAAGCTGCACAGTGAATGGTACTCAAGAATATGAGGGTGTCTGTAATTTTTTTTAAGTGTTTTTTTTTTTTTTTGGCTTGTCTGAAAACTTACTTTCCTCTTTTATGTTTTGTATCTCATGTGGAATGCTTTCTCCCTAAGCATAGGCTCTTTTATTATTAGATATGCAAAGGAAATAATCATAGCTTGGTTTCCAGAAACATTTATGCACATGACAATGTATGGATGAGACATCTTTCAATTAAAAATGTTAAAACATTGATTCTTGTAACTTAGATTTCATAGATTTCGGAAAATAGTCCGTTTTTAAACAAGACCAGTATGTAAGCTGCTTCACACGGAGCCTTCCGTTTTCCAGTAAGCCTGACTATACACGTAATGGTCGTTTGGTACCTGGATTTCCTCTTCCCGTTAATAGAGCAATTTTTCGTTGTAGGCGTCCCTTCTAGTTCACGTAGGGAGTGTAGAATGCTACATTTAATCCTAACACCAGGTCACGTTGTTGACAGAATTTTTTAAAAGAAATCTGAAGCTTTAGTCAGTAGGCCATTGTATGTTGAAAGCTGGCTCTCAAGTCAGGCCCTTCCGAAAGGTCCTCGTTAGCAAGTTAGCCAAGAGTAAAGACAAGGCAGTAACAATTCCTTATGAACCCACAGTAAGTTCTTCTGGCATGAATTTATAGCCCTCTTCTACCCTTCCAGCCAAAGGTCATTCCAAATGCTCTATGTGGAATTTGTCTGAAGGGTAAGGAGTCCAACAAGAAAGGGAAGGCTGAATCACTCATACACTGCTCCCAGTGTGACAATAGTGGTGAGTACCGACCTGTCTTCTTCGCATTGTAACCACCCTATTCGTTGCTTCGAAAACCAGGATTTTTAGTTGTCAGCTAGACCTGAATCAAAGAATCATCATATAGGGTAACTTGTGAGGCATAGAGAAGAAGCCCATGTATTTTTCTCTACTTCTTGTGTTTTCATTTCTTTGGTGATTAAATGTTGTAGCCGTACTCCTGCACTTGAAGCAAACTAGCATTTAATTGTGCCGTATTAAGTTCAAAATTCTCTTGTGAAATACTAATGTTGGTTTTGGTTTAGGCCATCCTTCTTGCCTGGATATGACCATGGAGCTTGTTTCTATGATTAAGACCTACCCATGGCAATGTATGGAATGTAAAACTTGCATTATATGTGGACAACCCCACCATGAAGAAGAAATGATGTTCTGTGATGTGTGTGACAGAGGTTATCATACTTTTTGTGTGGGCCTTGGTGCTATTCCATCAGGTAAAGACTGAAAAAAGGAGGAACATTATCTTTGAGTGGAGGGATTCTCCCAGCCTTTTTTTTAAAGGCTCCGCATAAGCACCATAAAGATCCTTCTGTTCGTAAGAAGTGACCAAAGCTGTGATTATCCAGATAACATCCACCTGCTTTTCTTTGCTAGGTGACCCGAGTAAAAAACGGGATGTCCCATCCAGGTGCTGGAAGCATGTCTTTCTACTGAAAGAACTAAAAGCAAGAGCATCAATTTGTTTCAAAGCCTTGATTTTATTTTTAGCTCATCTATTCAGAAACTTAACAAAAACGACCGCTATGCCTTTATAAATATTAAACCAGATTTCTATAAAATGAGGCAGCATGACAATTCCAGATAACTTTGGAATGAACACAGAGCTGGAGAATAAATCACAGTAATTGGACTAAAATATTACACATAATTGTGTAAATCTAGAACTTATTTGCATAGTTAACACTGTATAATACTTTTATAACATACATGCCTAGAGCTAAGTTTCCTGGGAACCATTAAGAAGCAGGCGGCTTGAAGTTCTGTAGTGACTCGGACAGGAGTATGCGGCACAGCTCATCCCTGGTCAGCTTAAAGCGCTGTGTCTGGTGCGCGCCTGGCCTCGGGGCTGCCACTGGGCAGCAGAGAGAAAGGCTGAAGACAAGCCAAACTCTGTAACAGGTTTTATCTGAGGATTTCTGTATTGAACTCTGAAGTAGGACAGTGTTTGGATTTCAGAAAGGATTGTAGAAACTTTTTAAAATCAGTATCACTGTAGAGAATCCCCCCCCACCCCGGCACTGAATTTCACATGGTACCGATTACACTAATGAAGGGAAGTTTACATTTTTCTCCTTAGGAAACTCGTTAGTGTCCTTCATGTCACAGATCCACAGAGAAGTATCGTTAGTGATAGCTAAGAAAGGAGAGCCAAATGGGTTTAAAATTCAGTCCTAAAAAATTAAATTTCATACTATATTAACTAACAATTTTTCTCCTAGGTCGCTGGATTTGTGACTGTTGTCAGCGAGCCCCCCCAACACCCAGGAAAGTGGGCAGAAGGGGGAAAAACAGCAAAGAGGGATAAAATAGTTTTTTGACCCATTTGGTGCCAACGTATTTACATTCTCAATTTTATGCCAATAAAAGATTTCTGAAATTAACTACGTGCTTAAAATCTGCCAGTTGATTTATTTGTTATGAGCCACTTTTACCCTTGAAGCCAACTTCAAGTAGAGAAATAATCATTTTCCCAAAGTGTTTTTTAATCTCGTTAGTACTTTGGCTCTATCCAGAAGTGCAGTGGGAAATATTAGAGAACTTAATTGAAATCTCAACTATTCCTCCACTGACCTGAAAGTGACCAGTCTCTGCGCGAAACTGCCCTAATCTGCGTTGTTTCTGGCCTGTTGTACTTGACGGAAGACTTGTGATGACGGGCGCCCGCGGTGAGGTTTGCACGTGGCCGGATGACAGTCGGCGCAGCAGATACAGGCAGGACCTGGGGCAGCCTGGAAACCTGCCAGGACGGGGCGGCTCCCCTGACCTCCGGAGCAAGCGGAGCCCCGGAAACTATTACCTTTCGGACTTGCTTTGAGTCCCCGCGGCGCACACACTGGAACCGCAGCGGGGGGCTCGGGCCAGGGCACAGCTCTCGCTGCCCGGCCTCCCGTCGGACGCCGATGCTGCGCTCGAGGCTCCGTGTCCACGCGCTTCCCGTCCCCGCGGGTTTCTGCAGTAGCGCCGGTCACCTGGCGAGCGAACCAAACTGGGGTTTGAACGTTTTATTGCGCGCACGCCCGTGACAGGAATTTAGGCATCTGGAGAAAAACAACACACCGTTCTTGCTGTTTTCCCTCCTGCGGGGCATGTGAGGTAACGGAACCGTATGGCTTTATTTTCCGTCCTCCGAGAGAAGTCGCCGAATGCCCGCCAGGCAGTGCGGCCGGGCTCCGAGGAGCCGCGCTGGGCTCCCGGGCCGCTCGGGGGCTCAGAACAGGATCTCCAGCACCAGCTTCAGGACGCTGATCAGGACGGTCCAGAGCACCGACTCCTCCTCCTGCGGCGCGTCCTCGGGGGCCTGCGCGTGCCTGTGCCCCGGGTCCCTGCCGTCCGAGGCCGCGACCTCGGCGAACGGGGACTGCTCCACGCTGCGGTCGAAGTACACCTTCATCTCGAACTCGCTCTCGTGGTGCGACGGGTGCCCGTAGATGCCGATGCCCACGGGCCGCCGGAAGTGCGCGGGGATGGACACCTCGTCCGGGCCGCAGGTGACGGACTGCAGCGCGTAGTCGTCGAAGCTGGGGTGCAGGGTGCTGTCCGACACGTACAGGTCCGCGTCCCCTCTCAAGCTCTGCATCCGGAGAACGATCTTCCCCTCGTGGTTCAGCCTCAAGTAGCTGTAATTCCCGGCGCCGATCTGGCCCTGCACCACGTGCAGCAGGACCCACTCCCCGGGAACCTCGTCCTCCTCCGAGGAGCCCGCCGAGGACGCCACCTGCGAGGCCAGCAGGACCAGCAGCGCGCGCTTCCAGGCCGCGGCCATGCCCGCCGCCTCAGTCACCTGCTCCCCCGCGGACGTCCTGCCGGAGGACCGGAGCGCGCTCAGCGCCGGGCCAGCAAGGCCAGGCCGCCGCTCGGGGGCGGGTCCCCGGAGGCCAGGGGAAGAAGACGGGAGGGGGAGGGGAGAGGCAGGGGAGGGGGGAGCGGGACAACGTGGGACGGGGGCGGGGTAGGACGGGGGAGGGGAGACGGGGAGGGCGAGCGGGGCGAGGTGAGCAGGGGGAGCGGCGGGGGAGCGAGCAGGAAGGGGGCGGGGAAGCCGCGGGGGAGGGTGGGAAAGGGGAGGCGGGAAGAAAGGGATGGCAAGGGGGAGCCCGAGCGCGAGGCCGGGCGGAGGGGCAGCGCTGGGGGCGACCGCCCTGCCCGGAGCGAGGGGCCGCGGGAGCCCTGGCCCTGTACTTACCGCCGCTCCCGGAGGGGTGCCGGGTCTGGAGCATCCGGGCCTGGTCTGGGCCGCCGCGCCGGAGCAGCCGGAAATGAGGCGGCGCCCGGAAATGAGGCGGCGCCCGGAAGTGAGGCGGCGCCCGGAAGTGAGGCGGCGCCCGGAAGTGAGGAGGCGCCCGGAAATGAGGAGGCGCCGGGAAGTGAGGCACGACCCGGAAGCGGAAGCGTCCTTGGCCTCTGGCGGAAATGACGAGGAGTTGTGGGTGCGGCGCCGGGGAGGCTGGTAACCAGGGCGACGGGGAGGGACGGGGCGCGGAGGGCGTGTCCCTCGCGGGCCCAGGTGAGAGGCAGGTGGCCCCAGACGCGAGCTTGTCGTGGCGCCCGTCCCCTGTCCTCGGTGCCCGTAGGAACCCGGAGGCCTTCCGAGCGGATTCGGGAGGCGCCGTGCGTTTGGGATGCGGCGGGAAGGGGTCCCGGCCAGGCCTTGGACCGGGTCCGCACGAGCCTCTGTGCGCTAGGGTCCCCGTCCTTGCGCGGCCGCGGGCGTCCGTGCAGTCCCGCCCCGAAAGCATGGGGCCGGGGCGGCGGGTCGCGGGCGCTGCGGGAGACGGCATCCGCCAGGGCGTCTGCCCGCACGTGCGGTGCCCCCGCCGGCCGCGCGCAGCCCGGGAAGCCGGTCGGCCGGGGGGACGCGAGCCGTGGCGCCGAGCGGCGGCCGCAGCGTCTGCGAGGAAGCGGGGTGTCGTCCTTTTCTTTCATAAACAGTTTTTTTTTGTTTTGATACTAAAGCAGCCGAGCGCGGAGAGTAACAGCACCTTCGTGCACATGTAGTGACGGGAAAGGGCAGCAGGTGGGACGAGTGTGTCGGGTTGGGCGACACGCCCCTGCCCGCCCGCCTCCGCCGCGCCGGGTTCGAGCCCCGGGGCAGCTGCCGTCGGGACGCGCTGTTCGGCGTCACGTGCTCCACTTCATGGTTTCTTTGGCCGCAAAGTCGACCATCAAGGACACGTCCGTTGCGATCCCGTTTGCCGTGTCTGGGACGAGCTCGCTCTCGGAGCATCTTGTGGAGGGACAAGCGCTCCAGCGGCCTTGACACGCTTGACCTGTGCCCACGGGGTTTCCAGCTTCGTGGGCTTCCCAGATCCCCTGGAGCTACAAAATTTTATTCTCCCGAGGCCTAGTCGGGCCTAGTCCAGCTTAACTTGGGCCCAGTTCGATCCAGGATCCAGTCTGATAACCACCGCAGTCCGCGGTATGGAGTCTGGGCAGCGTGGGGGCAGGACGCCGGGACAGGACGTGGGGAGGGATTGCAACCAAGGGGCAGCTGCAAATCCGGGGCGCCAGGAGCTCAGGGCTGAGAGGCGCTCACCCAGGGCCCCTGGAAGCAGGGACAGAGAGAACCCGGAGTGCTTTCCGGGTACCACGCCTGTGTTTGTCCTGGTCCCAAGGCTGCTGGAGACGGTTCACATCCCACCGCGGCCGCTGAACCTGTTAAGTTCCAGAAACTCAAGTGAATAAACTTAAAGATCACGTTGGACCCATCATGTTGGGTGATGCGTGCGTGGGCAGCGTCCCTATCGAGCCTAGCCAGGAGCCTTGCTGAGCTGTCGGAAAGGAGGCTTCTAGTGCGGGGAAGGCTGGAGAAGGACAGCCATCGACTGTGCGCTCCCTCGGGCAAGGCCGCCTTTCTCAGGGAGCAGAAGGGGTCTGTGGGCCCGACGACCACACTGGTGTGACCGGGACATTCCCAGTCGAGTGTGAGAAGTTGAATTCCTGGGGACGGAGACTGCAGTGAGATCCGGTATGAGGTCTCGGTGTGCTGCTACGGGGTTTAGCCCCGTGGCTGCACGCGGCTCCTGCTCTCTCTGTAACGACTCAGATATGTGCGGAATGCCTGCCTCGGATCCCGCCAGGGTACGATAGGGAGACACGTTTTTCCCTTTCCCAGAGCTACACATTAATCAGTTCTATGACTGCGTGTGTATCTACATACACGATCTCTGAACAACATGGGGGTTCGTGCGCCGCCCTCCCCTCCCCCCATACGGTGGGAGATCTGTGTGTAACATTCGACCCCCAGAAACCTGACTGCTGATAGCCTGCTGTGGAGGGGAGGCCTTCCCCGTAGCGTGAACAGTTGGCTGGCGCACTTCGTACGGTGTATGTGCTGCGTCCTGTGTTCTTGCAACAGGATCCGTGAGAGGAGCGGTGAGGAAGGTTGATTCCTGCTCCGAACTGTGCTGACGGACTGCGTGTGAGTGGACCTGCTCAGCTCCCACCTGCGTTGCTGAGGGACAAGCAGATCTGAGGAGTGAGCTGGGTCACAACAGGAGGACAGCGAACGGGGCCAGGCACATGGGGCGGGGATGTGGTGTAGGATGAGCTCCAGCAGCTGTGCGGGGCCGCAGGTTTGGTCTTTATCTTCAGAAAGACGGGCAGCTGTGGGCAGCATGTAATCGGGACATTGCGTTCATACCTCAGAGTTGAGTCATTCCTTGATGGTGGGTCCAGAAGGAGCTCCTTACGGACCTGAATCCCCCGCAGGCTGCTTACGGACAAGTAACAAGGACTGGCCTGGGAACAGGTGCCTCAGAGAGAACTTCCTGTAACCCAGCAGCACCCTACGGGGACGGTGGAGCCCAGACAGTGAGGGTGGTGCCCCAGGTGCAGTGCGTAGTGCACGAAAACGCCCGGCTACAAACCTGGGAAACCTCCACCGGGCTTGGGAATTGCCCCCGAGTAAATGCTGGCGATCATGCTGCAGGTCTGGGAACACGAGGCGTCGGCGTCCCACGGCCCTGCGGACCTGCAGTCATCACTCCCTGCCTCCTTCCCAGAGGCGTCTGAGTGCAGCCCCGCCGGCCGCCAGACCGCTGCTGAGCAGACACTGCTGTGCACATGCTGTCGTGAATATACCCCTCTTTCCCCCGGGCTGCGGCACATGGGCGTTGGGCTGTGCCGATTTCGGGCTCCCGGACAGTGCTGCCTTGAGCATCCTGGGGGACGTTCTGTGGTCTGCACTTCTTGCTGCGTGTGTTCGTGGTTCAGTGTGTCCTTGGCAGGGAATTGCCCCTAGGTCCGTGCTGGTTCCAGCTTACCTGACCCCTCCCGCGGGGTTTGGAAGCTCGTCCGTACTCAGTGTTCTTTTCCTAGTCTTTTTGGTGTTAACCATTCTGGCGCACGTGCGGTTTTCGCCTCTCATTTCAGTTTGCATTTCTCTGGCCGCTGATACGGAAGAGCATCTTCTCCGGGTAGTTGGCCGTTTGGAGATCTTTCCTGAAGTGCCTTTTGCACATTGTTCTGTTGGCGTCTCTGCCATAAGGTCTGTGGGGATTCTTTGTACGTTCTGGATGTCTTTGTCAGCTTTCTGTGTTGTTCATCGTTCCTGCTTTGTGGCCTTTTCATTCCCCGAATGCTGTCCCTGAGGAATATAAGTTTTGTGTTTGTGGATTTGTGTACTATGATATGATATAACCGTGGATGTATTTCATTGAAGTTTCTGCGCTCCTTGAACATCTAACTGGTAATACAGACTTAGACAAACATGGGTTTTTTTTCTTTTTCAGCATCTGTTCCTTTTATGGCAATAGTACTTGCATTTCCTTGAGAGGCCCGTGTTTTCCCTCTCCTGGCCAGACCCCAGGGGTCACAGTTCATGACATGTGGGGCTCACTTGTCAGCACGGTTTATCCTTCTGATCACAGGGTAAGTGCAAAGATGAGAAATGGCCCAAACTGGCCCAAACTCATAGAGAATGTTCAGGCTTTGGCAGGAAGAGATGGTCACTCTTCCCAGTCCACCAGAGCATGAGAGAGTGGCTGTGGGAGCTGCTGGCCAGCAAATGGCAACAGAAAGGAGGAAGGAGAGCCAGACACAGACAGTCACAGCTCAGAGATGGAGAGGCCAGGCCTGGCTGGCTCGGGCTGCCGCACGGAGCCCTGCACACACCCTGCAGTTAAAGGCCTGCCCCTCCGGACTTGCCCTTTCTTTAAGGCCCCTTAGGCTGAGCTTTCTCTGATTTGCACTGAGAAGGTTCTCACTGACAGGCAGAGTAACCGTCATGATGTCTACACTGTGTCCCACTGAAGGTAAGGACGACCATTGCCTTTTATATTCTAATTAGTGCTATCTTGGACATCCTGAAGAAATGGATTTTGGGAAATGTATAATGATTTGCTTGTTTTAAGTTTATAGGATGAACATTTATGAATCAATATCTAGTTCTTTTTTTTTTTTTTAATTTGACAGACAGAGATCACACGCAGGCAGAGAGGCAGGCAGAGAGAGAAGGAAGCAGGCTCCCCGCTGAGCAGAGAGCCCGAAGTGGGGCTCGATCCCAGGACCCTGGGATCATGACCTGAGCTGAAGGCAGAGGCTTAACCCACTGAGCCACCCAGAGGCCCCAGTTTTCCTCCTGAATTCTTGACAGTGTAGATTCAGAATGACTTTTAAATGGCATGCGAGGCAACGGTTCAAGCAGTCAGCATCACTTAATTGCTGTTTTCCTGACTGATTCCATAAACGTGTTACTTCTGTTGCAAGTTTCATGGCTATTGGGTGCAGCGTGGGTGATGGCGCTCCCGGGCCTGGGGGCGCCGAGCAGCGGGAATGGCCTGTGCCAGTAGGGCCGGGCCTCCGCAGGGAGCTGCCGTGGGCTGTGTGTGGGGGCGGCTTCGCTCCCTCCCCACGCACGCACCTTCTCGAAACGTGTATGCTCTTAGGGTTTCTGCTTCCTGCTGCGGGAATTACTTCAGGAGCGTTCAGACTGTCGACAAACAGAGTAGAAGTAAAACTCATACCTTCAGTGGGAGTTTTTACAGATACGTGTCGTGTGTCCCGTTCGTAGCCTCCCTCTCCTGAGTCTCCTCATCCACGCGGGGAGCCGACAGCTGGTGACAGGATGTGCGTGTGGCCAGGTGAGGGAAGTAGGACCTCCAGCGCTGTGGCCAGACGCCGTGGTGACCACCAAGAGGTCTGCGCTCGCTCCCCTGGGAGGGACTGTGGGTCCAGGGTCGCAGCAGCGCTCATACTTACATGTGCCCACATGCGGCCGGCACAGAGCCAGCTTTTCGTCCCTGTGCACGGGTCGCGCCCCACACGCCGGCCGGGTGTCCCGCAATGCCAGCCAGTTGTGACGCCGTCTGCCTGGAGCCCCAGGAGACGGGCCGTGCATACGCCGCCCACGGCAGTGCGGCCTCGGGCTCCGCGTGACCTGTCCGCTTTGGGACGGGCCTGCAGCCCCTGCTCGGTTCCACGGACCTGCCGGAGCGACCTGCGGACCTCAGGGGACGCCTCTTGCTGGCGCAGCAGCCCCATGCGCGAAGACTCGGGTCTGGATTGGAGAGCGCGGCGGGGCGGAAGGGCAGAGGCAGCGGGAGAGAGAACCTGGGCAACTCCCCACCCAGCAGAGCAGGGAGCCACACCACGGTTCGGTCCCGGGACCCTGAGACCCCGACCTGTGCCGAAACCAAGAGGGACGCCTCAGCCACCGAGCACCCGGCCTCCCGCCGCTGACCGGTCTGGTAAAGGAGGCGGCAGAGGATGGAGACGAGCCCCAGACGGAGGTGCACGGGGTGAGGTTGGGGAGGGCCACCCTCCGGCGCGGACTGTGCACGGACGTGCTCACCGACCTGGAAGCTGGGATTCCCTGGAGGCCTCAGTATGCAGGCCTGATTCATGAAACTGGTGGCCATTGGTGACGAAACCCATCCTCCAGCCCTCACCCCTCCCCAGGGTGGGGCTGAAAGGTACCAGCCTCTAATCTCGGGATTCATTCTCCTGGCAGCCTGCCCCCACCCTTCGGGTCTTCTCAACAAAAAATACCTTTGTCACTCAATGCTTGGGAAGTTCTTAGGGTTTTAAGAGGTCTGTGCTGGAAACAGGAATTCCAAAAACGTGTATTTCTTGTTCTAAATCACAATATCACAGATGTATTTTTGGAAACCGAGACGTGTTATTTTTCCTTTTGACAAAGGTGACTGCTGTTACTGTGCGTTTTTGCCAGTGACGTGCCCACTGGACTTGTGGCTGTGTTCCTGGTGTTGGGTTCTGAGAGACTGGCCTGGACCAGTGGGGATCAGAGTGCACGCCCTCTTGGGCTGTGGTTTATAAACTCAACGTCTGCGGAACAGATGTGCGGGGCTAGGAAGGGGAAGGGAGGGGTCAGACTGGCAGAGGAGGGGTCCAGCAGGCTCTCAGGCTGTGTGGCGCTTGTCTCTGGCTCCACACCCACCCTTCTCCGGGGGCTGGTCCGCGTGTTCACCGGTGCCCTGTGATGGCGGACCTGCGGTCTCTGCCTCGCTGGCTTTTCCAGCTTTGGATCTTTAGTTTGGCTGAAGGGCATCATTACCGTTGTGTGACACGAGTTGACCTGAAGAAGAAGAGAGAGAGTTTCTCAGGAGGATTGAGTCCAGGCTGTGCAGCCTGCCAGGTGATGCCACTGAGACTCTCCCATGGAAGCCCCACGGGGCCCCTGTGCAGCCTGCCAGTTAGGCGGTTTGAAGGGAGCACCGTGCAGGGACAGTTCTTAGTGTGCGAAGTCTAGCGTCTGACCTCAGACATGCCCCAGCACCAGGGACAGCATGGCACTTCCTGCGCGCAGGGGTGAGGTCCGCTGATGAGGAGAGCACGCGTCCCCCCCGACCCAGGCAGCCTCTTCCCACCTTCTGGTGGGTGTCCTGTGCCGAGGTCCCCCGGCCCACCTGGGCCATGCCCCATCTCTGCAGGAGCCCCTCCTGCTGCCCACGGTTGCTTCCACGTGGCCACGCCTTTCTCCCCCGCCATTTGTCGGCCGCCTGCGGAGCGTCCCCGTCACGGGAGGGTGGGGAGGCGCTGGGGGTCTTCGCTCCCTGGGCCGCGCTGTCATGCTTCACCTTCCAGCAAAGGCGTCTCTTCGCTGCTGCCTTCAGGCTTCTCATCACCGTTCTTCCTTTCGGTTTAGTTCTTCGTGTGTGTGTGTGTGTGTGTGTGTGTGTGGCTGTAAGCGATTTCTTTTGAAAGAAGGTCAGAGGTTGCCTTTATGCATGGTATCTGTTTTCTTCCTCATGCTTTCAGTCTTGGCTTTCGTTGTTTCCCGTGTAGGTGCCGTTTATCTGGAGGTGGACGTGATCCTGCTTTAGGAACAGAGTTAAACTCTGCTGTGCCTGGAACGCCCCCTTTCCTCCTGACAGGCCTCACGTACGGGCTGTGCTCGGCGTTTATAATCTCAGTCTCAGTCGTGTGCAAGCGTGGCTGTTTTCCTTGACTCGAGAACCGATCTGAGTTGCTCGGACCCACGTGTGTTTCCTCCAGCATCCGCGCGGCCAGCTGTCTGCCTGCCACTCGGTGGACCGCTTGAGTCCCGTAACTCAGGTGATCAGTTCTGTTCCTAGAAGACAGCGCGCATCCCTGCGCAGACGGCTTGGAGCGGGGAGAGGAGGTCGAAGCAAGCCTCCCGGTCCTGAGTCTGGCGTCGTGTGATCTGTCCGCCATCCTCCCTGCCGGGTGTGGGGGGTGAGTGTGACGAGCTGCCCCAGTGCCCCTGGGGAAAGCCGCTGAAGTGTGAGGTTCACTTTTTAGGAATGATTAAAATAAAGCCAAAGTATTTTTGTCTTTTTAAGTCATAATGTTAAGTGTTTTTAGGATTGCATATTCTAAGTCTTAAAGCTGGTAAACTTGCGCAGTTGTTTTTAAGTCTGTTTAATAAATGAAATTGTCGTTAATTTTGCTCACCAAAGTCTAGGCACATCTTGTTCGTAACAAGGTACAGGGGGACGTAGTCCTAAGTCATTTTGAACCTCCCCCGTCTGAGCCGCAGACATTTCAGAATGTGCTGCGATGGCTTTCGCTACGGAGTCCCGAGAGCTCTAGAGCTCTAGGGACAAGGAGGGACGAGCCTCTGTCTTCCCGGACAAGGTGGGGCTTAACGGGGTGGGGAGCCGGCCGTGCTGCGGGCCAGTCTGTGCACAGGCGCGCTGCTGGGTCTGCCCCGACGCGGGTGGTGCAGGCAGCCTGTGCCGGGGCTCCGTGAGGGTCAGCTGGGCTTCCTGTCCTGGACGCGCACGGACTGGTTTGGTCGACCCGGGGATGGCCGTGGAGCACGAAGGCCTGAGAGCGTGCACGGGATGTCAGGGTGGTCAGAGGCCCCAGGGGACCGAGAGGCCGGCGGCAGAGAGGGCGCCTGCAGTGGTTCCGGGTCCCAGGTCTGGCCGAGCCAGAGGAGGCTTATCCATTGAAAACCAGAAGAGGAGGCAGGGCTGTGTTTGCCCTCCCTGGGGCTCTGCGACTTCTTCTGCCGCTGCCTCGCGTGGCAGGACCCACTGTGCCGCGCTGCGCCTCTCGCAGGGACGCCCCCTGGGCAGAGAGTCCCGTGGCCTCGGAGAAGGGAGAACCGTGCGCATCGTGATCGAGTTGGGACCCACTGTGGCTCTTTAGTACTTGCTGCACCGGACGGCGGTGTCCCCGGAACCTGAGATACAGCTGAGTGCAGGACGCGGAGGGCCGAGGGCCGAGGGCCGTCACCTGCAGCAGCCGCTCGGGGTGGGGGTGGGAGCCTGAGGAGGGAGGTGAGCGGCGTTTTCTCTTTATGCTTTAGTCTTTCTTCTGCGAATGCCGTGTGCTTATGGATCGGAAGCTCCGTGGGCTGTTCTTACTTAGCTTGGCAAGCTTTGAACTGGAAGCCGCCTTACATGACAAGGGTAAGATCAAGTTCAGTTCCTCTTTTTCTCTGGCATCTGGGAGAGTGACCCTCTCGGTGTAGGATACGTGGCCGTCAGAATGTGCAGACGGCCACGGGCAGCCTCTGTGCACAGGGTCCCAAGGACACACTTCGAGTCTGCTCCCAGCTCTTGGTGGGTCTCCCTGCCCTTGGTCCCCAGTCCTCCCGTCCTCCAGGTGCGTGCAGGGCTGCGAGGGACACTTGTTTTCTTCAGCACTCCTGTGTGTGTCCCAGCCTCCTGCCCAGGATTCTGAAGTCCACACCATCAGTGTTTCCCCTGGAGACTTAACACCATGACCAGGTGACTGGAGGGCCTCACGAGCTTGTGAGACTCAACTTGTCTGAACTGAGCTGGGCGCCCTCCTGTCCAGCCCTGGTTCCGGCCCTCAGGTTGTGTGACCACCATGCGTGGAGTCATCCCTCTGCCCTCCCTGTGTGCCCGCAGCCAAGGTCACCTGTGGATACAAGCTCCCTCCCTTCTCTTTTAAGGCCCTCGTGCTTTGGGGACAAAGTCTGAGTTCTTAGCTTCGGCCAGCCCATCCCCCCTCCTGGTGGGAAGTCACTGTGCCTTTCCTCACCTTTGGGACTTTGCTAGAACCCTCCAAACCTCTGCTGGCCTGAGCTCCTGTCTCTCCTCCGCTCGCCCTGGAAGGTTCACCTGAACCTGCTCCGGGAACCACGTTCTTCCTGGCTCCCGGTGGCTACGGTGTGCGCAGCATCTGTGGTCTCTCTGTGGGTGCCTGTGTCCCCATGACTCTGGCTGCTCGGGGCCGGCGGGGGTCAGGGCTCTCGTGAGGGCCTTGCTCCTCGCGCCCAGGCAGCCCCGGCACAGGCCTGTGAGCACAGCTGTGTCAGCGAGGGGCCGGTCCTCTGCTTACTGCCAGCGTTGCTGGTCTGTTTCTCTTTGCTGGCAACGAAGACTTCAGGAGCCTCAGCATTCGGGTTACCGGGTCCTGCGCAGTGGAGAGCGGAGCGGGCGGTGACAAGGTGAGTCCTGCCCGACGCACGTCTCCGGGCTCAGCTGCATGCTCACTCGGACCCACAGAGGACCGTGGGGCTGGCTGGCAGGTCGCGGTCTCGTAGGCCGCAGTTGAGGACGCACATGGGGCCACGCGCGGTGGACGGTGACTGCTGACGTCATCGCGGCCGTGCTCGCGATGGGCGTCGCGAACGTGTGCTCCGTGTTGACTGTCCCCTGCAGGCCGTCTGCTCACTCACGTCCTTGTTTGGCCGTAAGACCGCCTTGCTGGAAATCCACGTGGCCGCTCTGGTGACGTCGCAGCGGAGGCACGCCGCGGGAAGGGGTCTGTCCGCGCTGCCTCGGCACGTGCTTCCTGTGCGGGCTGCACGTGTGCCCCTGCAGCTGCTCCTAGAGTTCCCGTCTCTTTTGATCTTAAGAGAGAAAAGTAAAGCTTGGTGAACTCCAGGTGTGCTAACCGTGTGTGAAAGAGGTGATTGCTCGTGGCTCTGCTTCTGTCTTGTGTAGGACTAAATGATGCCTAGTTTACCTTACTGTAATCCAGGATAGAGTGGAAATTAGGAAATACCACTCTGACTAAAAATACTAAAATGTATTTCTTAGAAGGGTAAGGACACGATTGATGGGTTGCAAACCTTGCACGCCCCTATGTGCGCGAGTTACCAGCTGCTCGTGACCGTCCCGAGATGCGGGAGTCCTTGCTGTGAGCCCGGTGTGTGAGTTTGCTCTCCTGGTGCTGTTTCTGTTTCTCCCTTAGTGCCCACGTTCTGTCCACGTCCCCGCCGCGCTTCAGACCCGCTGAGGACAGGGTGCAGCTGGCTCCGCAGGCGCCGTCCGGCTCGGGTAGTGTACTCGGGCGCTGCACACCAAGCTCAGGGTGCGCTCCAGCCCCGCGCGTGTTGGCACCTTTCTGTTGCTTTGTGAATTCCTGTTGGGCAACAAGAAAGTTCCGGGTTTCCTCCCTTCTGGTGTTCTTCATTTCTCTGCCTCTCACATGGGCGTTACCGTTTGTGGTGGGGAATGTGCTCGATGTTTCTTTTCCCGAATTGGGTAGAAGTCTTAGGACTTCAGAAACATTTAAAAACGCTGATGGCTCTTGTAGCCAGAAGAGCAGTGGTGCCTGCGGCTGCTCATTTGTCGTGAGAGCGATCTTTCCTTGCCCCTCTTTGCTGAGGAATTTTCAAGCCCATCACAGACATCATGCTGTCGGCCCCGTGTACGGCAGCACGCACTTCTAAGACACGTGCACGTTTGCTTACCTCGTCGTGATGCTGTTACGTGGAAACCAGGGCTAATTCTCCAGTGTCTTATGTTAGCCAGCCCATATAAATTATTTCCCATTGTCTCCAAAATTTTTCTCATTGTTTTATTACAAGCATAAAACAAATTCACATGTTGCTTTTTACAAAGAAATGATTTTAGAATTAACTTCTGTTTTAAGATGATCGACTTCATTACATCCCATTTGTTTCCATTGTAATAATCATTGATAATGATTGTTTTTTCCTTCAGCGACCAACCCAGCATCCTAATCAGTCTTGTTAATAAGCCCCTATTGACCTAATTAAAAGCCAGTAGAACAGTAGCTCTAAGCAATAGCTCAGTCAGTCTGCTTTTATCTCCATCTCTGGTGAGGGACTCAGCTCCTGGAGGGCGAAGGGCTGGGCCCCACTGCTCGGACCTCCAGGCTCTCCGCTTATGGGGATCCTGTCCTGCCCAAGTGGGCCCCTGTGTTAGCCGTCCCCTCCCTTCTCCGGGAGACCTTCTGACATCCTTGACTGTCGTCCTGAGAAAGACCGTGCAGAGCCCCCGAAGGCCACCCTCACAGGTCCCTGCCCGCCAGGTCCCCTGGGGATCGGACCCCCCCCACTCTTCTGACCCTTCCTGCTCTCTCTGCTCCCCCTCCCTCCCGCTGGGTCTGGAGCCGAGAGCACTGCTCAGCAGGAAGTTGGGAAGTCCGCTGCCGTTCCTTATTTAAGTAGCAGCTTCCTCAAGGAATTATCCGTTCCTATGTCCTTGTGTTACTCAAAGTGGAAGTAGTGTTTTACTTTAATGCTTTGGGCATTTATTAAAATAGTATGCATTTACATATTCATGAGCTTTCTTCTAGTAATTTCAAGACTTTCTCCTGATCAAGTATACTAATGCCTCTGTGAGCTCATTATTTGATCCTGAAAATACTTTCCTGTTGGCTTTATTTTCGTGGTGACTTTTTCTTTCCCTCAACACTGATGTGGAGAGGTTTTCTGGGTCCCCCCTAGGGTGTAGTTTTATCTCCAGGTGTCCCCTGAGGCACCGGCCTCTCGCCCAGGGGGGTGGGGCTCTGCCTTGTGTGAGCCGGAATGTGTCCCCACCTCCCGTCAATGGTTTGTCTCCGGGCTCAGCTGCATGGTTTGCTCCGTGGCTTCGCTCGGCTTCTGAACGGAACACGGTCCAGGTGGTCAGGTTTGAAACAGTGCCAGAAACAGAACGAAATCTGTTTTTTTTTTTTAAAAGAGAACTATTTTAAAAATAACTCAATGTTATTCAATTATCCATTTTTCCAAAGTTATTTTTCTATTCTTGTACAGAATGCTCCTTTTGGATACCAAGTATTAAACGTATGTAAAAATAAATAATTCTGGCAGAATTTTATCTCCTCTGAGAGAATTTTTAAGATTTATAAGTATTTGTGGTAAGTTCACACAGTGTCAGAGTTTTTATGGGTCTGCAGTGTTATGGGAGACTAATGTTAAAATAGGATAATAGGTTTTATTGCCATTGTGTTTTAGTGGCTTTTCTTTCTTATTCTGTCTTATGGTAAATAAGAGCATAAATGAGAAATTTGAGTTCACTTATGATCATTGCCATTATTGTTTGGAGAAACAATGGCTTTGCCACAGATTGCTGGAGCGAACTGTTCCTGAGGGTTGCTCTGTATCGTCCTGTGGACAGAATTTCACACAGACCGGGCGAGGATGTGGGCCTGTGTGGTTACAGCGCGAGCTGACGTGTTCGTCCAGAGTATTTGGAATATGTGGTAATGAACATACATTCGGTATCATTTGAGGAACGAGAAAAACACGTTCTTGTTTTCTTACGCTTTTAATGCCCTTGATGTAACCTTCGTTGCTGGTAGTGGCGGGTTTGGCGTCAAGTATGAAGCCTCTGAAGTTTTAGGTCATAGCCTCGTTCCGCTTGTGCACGCTTTCTGTTCTCCAGGCGCTCTGTTCTCGTCATGTTCAACGGCTGCTACCTCTGGCGCATGTCTTACAGCAGTGCGGAGCGCCGTTAAGGACCGGCCCCTGGTTTTGCACAGCAAAGTGAGGTCGTCTGGGTACGCGTCCACACTGCGGTGAGTAAATGGCTCAGAGGCTGCTCGTGCTGGGACGTGGACGCAGGGTTCAGGACGCCTGAGCCCTCTTCTCCCATCCTCCTGGGGCTAGTGTCCTCCCTTGTCTGTGCCCCAGCCCCTCCTCAGCCCCAGGGGACCTGTGGCTCCTGCGGCAGATGCAGAGCCTGTGGCGCTGGCCCGGGGCCAGGCCGCCTCTCCTGCGCCTCCCATCCTGATGGCTCTGGGCACAGCCCGATGCGGAGTGTGCTGCCTGCTCTGGGCAGCTTGGAGGCGGGTGTGGGCTGGGGCTGTGGCTGTGCCCCGTGCAACCCCGAGGCTCGGCACCCTGTGTCCCAGCATCTCTAGGGTCTCGTTTCTTCATCTGAGGAACAGGCCAGTACCAGGCGACTGTTCAGCTACTGCCAATATGCGATAATCCGATTTTATTAAAGGGGGGATTCAGCATGACTTCCCAGTGATGTCGCTTCTGTTTTTGAGTAGGTTCGCAAGTAACGTCCACAAATGCAGCTGTTTCTGGTGTGAGTCTGTAGCTTCGTTCTCCGGAAGGAGACCGTGTCGCCGGAAGACGCTGCTTCTGCAGGTGTCTGAGCGGAAGGAGAGTTGTTAGGATGAAAGTAATTGAATGTTCAGAGTATTTCTAGTGTGGGACACAGAAAGCATTAATGTATTTAAATATGTATGTACATTTTGCTGCAAAATACAGGTCTCTTAAGAAGCTTGAACTGTAATCTTTGAGAGTAACCCGGTTTCTTTCCACAGCACGACTATGTTCTTGCCAAAGACGAACACCCGGAGCAGGGGTGGCCGCTCTTCACCACGGAGCGACGGTCACAGGGGGTGCGCAGCTCGTTTCCCAAAGTAAATGTGACGGAATTTGGGGAGGCCTTTTGAGTACTTCAGGAGACTTTGTTTCCGGCAGGAGTACGGCCGAGGCCGTGTTTGGGGACGCCTTCTTACTTGGCTGTACGTGGCCTGTGGTCACATTCGGTTCTTCCTTGTTAACCCTTTTTTGGACAGTCTGCTCTCTTTACCACCTTAACAACTTAGGAATTTCAATTTTGGTTAAAATTCTGTTTTAGAAAGCATTGTGGTCGGTGAAGGATGCTTCTGGATAAGTTTGTTAGGTAGTAACTGGATGGAAGACCGTGAGCGCTTACAGGGCTGTCGGCCTGAGATGAGCGCGGGGGCCTGGACTTGCTTCCTGTCCAGCGGGCACTGCACCTGCGGGACCTTGGCCAGCCCTGCCGGTCCCCGGGCCCCGTGTGCCTGCACAGGGAGGTGTGAGGGGACCCCCAGGATGCTCCCGGTCGTACACATGGAGGTGTCCACATCTGGACAGAGATTCCGGGCGGTGGTGCTGGCTGAAATGTGACTTGCTCTCGTCCCCGGCACATCTGTGCTTGGGCGGTCACTGGCAGAATGCTGGTTTTACCCCGTTTTGTGATGTTTCCTGTGGCCCGAGGCTCTTCCTGCCCTACTCTGCTGCTCCTGTCTCAGCATCGATGGCGAGGACGTGACCCCGGCAGGTGCCCTCAGACCCTGTGATACCCAGATTGGTGGTTGGGGACAAAACACAGCACCAAAAGCTATGCTCAACTCTGATCTTCTTGGTGACTTTTCCCTACGAGAGCCCAGCTCTCCAGACGGAACCAGTGGCCTTGGTGCGTTTCTGGCCCGGGGGGGCATTCCGCTGAGGGGTTTCGGTGAGGGGAGGACCCCAGACAACGTCCTGGGCACAGGCCAGTGTTCCTCTGGGAATGGCTCCTCTGCACACCTACCGAGTTTCACTCCAGAGGGATGGCGCTGCCGGGCTGTGGGGCGGGCTCGCACGGTCAGGTTTTCCAGCTCGTGCGTCCTCCGAAGGTGTGACGAATGTGACTTGTCACCAGTAACTTCCAGCTTTGACAACAACCTCTGCCGTGCGCCTGGCGCCTTTCCATGCTCCCGAAGCACATGGAACACTGTGGCGGGTGGCTCTGGACTGAGGTGGATTGGCTGGTGGGGGCCACGGGGGTGTCAGGCCGGAGTCTGGCCTCCGGTGCCCTGGCTGGCCCCCGTGCCCGTGGCTTGCTGCTGCTCAGAGGCTGCCAGACCACTTGCTGGAAATGAACCCTGAGGAGACTTTGCCTTAAGTTCCAACTGTCTTCAGTGGGCTGTGCTGCCTGCTCCCCGGTCCTGTGGGACCCACCCCACCCGGGCCACCCCAGCGCGTGTCCTGGCCATCGGTCCTTTTCTCCAAGCCATCCGTGGTCTCTTCCACAGACTGGGAATGTGGTCATTTTCATGGCAGATGCAGGCCGTGTGCAGAGGACGTGAGCAATCCCTGTTATGACCCACAGAGAGTAGCAAGTGGGGAAGGGCAGTGTCTGTCTCGTGGGGTCCTTGCCCAGTTGCCTCAGTGCACGTCACCCATGAGAAACCCTTCACGGTTTGCCCTTAGAGTGCATGCGTTTTGGCTCCCTGGACGGAAGTGCACTTTGCGGAGCTGTGTCATGGGTTCGCACGCGTTTACGGGCGTTCAAGTGGGAGAGAATGAAGTTGCACGGGTGGACAGGGGAGAGGCCAGCATTTCCAACCCCTCGTTTTGTTTCTTATCTCACTCGGAACTCTTGATCTTCATGGTCCTGCTGTTTCTTCAAGTAAGGAGTACCCTCTGGAGCTTTCTGTGCCAACCAGAGTCCAGAAGCAGCTTGTCCTCGCGCACGGGCCACCCGCTGCCGCCACCTGCGTCCAGTACTCAGGTACGCCGCGCCCAGGCTGCCCTCCGCTGTATTTTCGAGGATCTCTGAACTGCCACTGTTCCGTCGTAAATAGAGCTTTAAAAATCCTGATGGCATGAAGTTCTCTGGCATTGTTGGAGTCTGGATGAAAATCAAAGGTCACGTTGCCCTTGAGTGGCCTGGTGTTTAGGGCCTTCGCGCCGGCTGCCACCACAGCGCGGGAGCTCCTGCGTTTGGAATTAGGGGCTCACCTGGGTTTGTGCCCTGTGTGTGGCCCTCCCTCTGTAGTGCTGGAGGGAGCTGCAAGGGGGGTGGGGGGCTGGTTTGCGGAGGGTGAACCTTGATGTCCTCTCTGGTCGCCATCCCTCCTCAGATGGAGCCTTTCCTGCAGGGCCCAGTGCGTCTTGGGCTGCCGGCGGCCGTGTCACTCTCAGGTGCATTGAAATGCCTCTGCCAGAGTCTTCTCTGGTCTTGCTCAGGAGAGGGAGTGGGGAGCAGCTCCTGTCTGGGTGACTCTGCGATCTGAGCTCTGTCTTCAGAAGCACACGCTGTTTCTGGTTTCTAGACTCACCTCGACGTGAGAAGATGTATTTGCTCTCAGTCCAGGCGGCTGGAAGGCCACCCCTCAGCATTTTGAGGGCAGTCCTATAGTTTTCACTCCTTCCATCCATGCTGAGTTCCCTGCATTTTTCTGTGAACGTAGCCCAAGCATGTTTGAGGGATGTGGGGAGATAAGATACGTGGTGTGGTCGGTGAAGTAGCTTCGTGGTGTGAGATAAGAGGTAAGGTCTTATCTCTGCTCCTGTGACTGTGTGATAGGGGTTGGCAATAAGGCTGCAGAATCGTGGGGGCCTCTGGCTTAGTTCTGCCCCATGTTAGGGGTAGGGTTGGATATTCCTGCGTGGCTGAGCACTGGGTGTCTCTACTGTTGATGGGAGGCAGAGTGCCTTGGGGTCAGGGTTCTCTGGGTTCAGAACCCCGTGCTGACTCTGACTAGCCCTGCGGCTCCTGACTCCCAGATCCTCTCTCTAAAGGACGTCCTGGGTGAGGCCACCTGATGGCCCTGCAGAGGTTGGTTGGCCACTGAGCACGTGCTGTTGTAGGATCTCTTACTACCTGACAAAACGAGCATCGGGTTAGCTACAGATTCTGCATTTACCTGCTGCAAGCGTGACTCCTGGGAGCTCTGATTTTACAGGGATGTCCCTTACCTTGTTTAAGCAGGAGATGGACGGTGGCTCACCTGCGGCTTAGCCAAACACTTGGCACTGGTCCTCCGCGCTGATCTCACTGGGACGCCTACTGTTCTTTCAGGTGTGATGTGTGTTACGTTTGGTTACTGTGAATTATGGTGAGTCTCCTCGTCTGGGTATGGGTTGCTTTCCTCTCCAAGATCAGACTGGCCTGCAAGGAAGGCTTGTGTGGAGGTTCAGCGAGCTACACGGGCCCTGCTGAGCTGGGCAGAAGGGTGGAACCGGGGGGCCAGGCTGCAGGGAACACAGCTTCTCCAAAGTTCTGTGGGGGCAAAGTCTGATCTTTCTGACATGACTGAAGCACATTTGGAAAATTAGGAGCGTCTGTACACAGGCATTTTTTTTTTAAAGATTTTATTTATTTATTTGACAGACAGATCACAAGTAGGCAGAGAGGCAGGCAGAGAGAGAGGAGGAAGCAGGCTCCCCGCTGAGCAGAGAGCCCGATGCGGGGCTCGATCCCAGGACCCTGAGATCGTGACCTGAGCCGAAGGCAGAGGCTTAACCCACTGAGCCACCCAGGCGTCCCATAAAAAACAATTCTTAAAAAAGGGCGACCTTGAGTGAGAACATGTTGCTTCCTGTGTTAGTTCTCCGGCTGCTGTTGCCGTCCTGCGTTCCTTCTCCGTGGCATGGGGCCACACATCTCAGGCAAGGCCCTGGCCCCAGGGAAGGAGAGGACTCGGATGTGTCTCGTTCCTGTTCCTTCTGTTCCTGAGGTTTTTCACCCCAGTGTGCACGCCGCAGGGGCACCTGCCGTCCGAGGCGGGAGGCCGCCGGTGTGGCTGGGTGGGCAGGCAGGGCGTGCAGCAGGGGAGCCGAGCTGAGGGGAGGAAGGACGAGCCCAGCCCGGGTCCCTGCTGGGCCCGCCGCCCTGCTCGAACCGGGGTCCCTTTGCCAGGCCTTGAGGTCAGAGCTGCTATGTGCAGGGCGGAGCGGGGAGCAGTTCGTGTGGGTTCCCGGTGTTCTCATTCACGGTCAGCCCTGTCCCTGCCCTCCCGGCTCACGCCCCGGCAGGGTCGCCCTCACAGTTCGGTGATGAGAGCACGTCGGCCGTCCTTGGTAACTCCGTGGACCTTCTGTGGGCGCCTGGGCTTGGAACACGAGTGAGCAGGGAGGGATGGGAGGAGGAGGGTGTCCCCGCTCTGCTGTGGATGACCGCTTCATTGGCAAGAATTACACGCGGCTGAATGGTGGTGACCTCGCTGCGTGTGTCCCTCTGACGTGCGGGTCGTCGGCCTCGCCGCTGTCCGGTGAGGTGGTGCCGGTCCGCGCTGCGCTCTGCGGCGTGGAGGAAAGGCCGAGAGCTTGTGGGCTCTCAGACACACTGACCGTCTGGTGAAACCTCCCAGGTGCCCTTCCTGGGACCGTGACCACGTGGCGGCCCTGGCCCAGGCAGCTGTGGGCGCCACAGGGCCTGCGTCCTTCTGGGTAAAGCTCAGAACGGACGCCAGAGGGCAGCAGAGCTGTGTCGGGGACTCGGCCGCTGTGGGCTCGGTCCCGCACAGCACTCAGGTGTCCGGGCTTCATCGGCTCTCCCGGGCTGGCTCTCCCGGGCTGGTGCAGCTTCGTCTCTTCTGCGGGTCTCCAGCGCAGCGCGACTGTCCTCGCGGGGCGCTGGCTTCTGTGCACGGTCACTCGTAGGCTGCCACAGCCAGAGGCTGGCGAGTTCCCGGCCAGACGCGGGTGCCGCAGAGAAAGGCGGCTTCGCCGTGGCGCTGGGGTGGCTGGGCCTGTCCCGTGTACCCTGTGTGGCACAGCGCTGTCCAGAGTCCCCAGCTGTGCCGTGGCTGGGGCACTCGTGCCCCAGCCTGTGCTCTTGGCCCCTCTCTGGTGCAGAAAGCCCACAGTTTCATGTCCCCAATGGCCTGTGTCTGCCTTTCCATGGGCACCTCTGCTTCTCCGAGCAGCAGGTGGCAGCAGCCTCGGGACCCCTGGGAGATCGCCTCCTGGCTAGTGACCCGTCCACGTGGCCTCTGACGGAGGCGGGATGCAGAGTTGGTCTGCGTGAGCGAAGGCAGGTGCCCAGTGAGAAGGAGCAGGGCTGGTGGGGCGCTGGTGAAGGGGTTGTGGGTCCGGTTCCCACAGGGGCGCATCTGCGTGCTCCCTTCCACATCCTCAGGACTGCGTGGACTGCTGGGCAGCATGGAGCTGAGGCCCATGGGGACAGGGAACCCACTTGCAAGGACAGGCTGTCCCACTGACCCCGTGTGCGGTGGGGTAGTTGACAGACTGCGTTGGGTGCCCAGCCCCCAGCAGCGCACACGCTCTTGAACCGAAGGAGATGGGCCCGTCCCCGGGCGCTTAGGGATCTGACGTCCTGTTGGATGGACTGGAGGAGGGGTCACATCCGGAGGTGTGCTTTCGCTGTCTGCCAGGCCAGGGCCAGTGGTGGCGGCAGCAGAGGTCACGGGGTCATAACAGCTCAAAGGACAGACCGCGGCTGGCATGGCGGAGCTTCTCTCCACGGGTCTCGAGAGGGAGTGAGAAGCGAGTAACCAGGGAGTACTCGAGCCCGTGGAGGGGTTCCTTCTCATCTCACGCCTGCACGTCCCCGTCTGGTGCCAACGCCACTGTGGGGTGCGACCCTCGCCCTGTGGCTGGCAGGCGGCCTGTGGGCGGCCGTCCCAGCGCTGAGCTCCGCCGCGGCCCGGGGCCCAGACCCCGACAGCCCTACAGTCATCCGACCGCCTGTGGCCGCGCTCAGCAAGTCCGCTGACCTTCTCCGCCAGCGTCACGGGAATGTCGCTCCTTGAAGACGCGTCACTGGGAAGCCCGCAGCTTTTGGAACATCTTGTGGCGCCAACGTCTGTGTGTTTCTGCAGCTTATGCTCTTTTTTTTTTTTTTAAATTTTATTTACGTATTGACAGACAGAGATCACAAGCAGGCAGAGGGGCAGGCGGGGGCGGGGGGAAGCAGGCTCCCCGCCGAGCATGGAGCCCGATGCGGGGCTCGATCCCAGGACCCTGAGACCATGACCTGAGCCGAAGGCAGAGGCTCAACCCGCGGAGCCCCCCAGGCACCCCTGCAGCTTATGCGATTTTAAAGACACGTGACTCTGAGCGCGTTTTAAACATACGCTTTTTACTCAGCCTTTAAATGGAGTGGAATTCACCTCCTCGGGCTTCGGTGTCCCTGGTGCCACCGGAGCTCGGAAGTGCCCCCGGCCCTGTGCTCTGCTGGACATCTGGTGGGACTGTGCTCGGCCAGACGGTGGTCCCAGCAGCCCCCTTGTCTCTGTCCTCTGTTAGGTCATGATGGGCCGGTGAGCACCGTGTGCTGGAGCCTGGACGGCAGGTGGCTGCTGTCTGCTTCCCGGGACGGGACGCTGCGGCTGTGGTCACTCCGCCGGGCAGAACACGTGTTGTGTGTGGTAACGTTCTGGGCTTCACTGGCCAGCCCTGTGGTCCCCAGACCGGTGGTCCCAGAGGCACGCTGGCACCGTCTCAGGGCCCCAGGCTTGTACCCTCTCTGGGAGTGTGGGATGCGGGGTGAGAGGGTTGCTGTGGTGCACCCACTGTGCTCGCTGACTCAGCACTTTCGTGTGTGTGTGTGTGTGTGTGTGTGTGTGTGTGTGTGTGTGTGTGTGTG